TGTTGGGGGGCATGAAATTAAAAAGCAGACTCTTTCGTTCCTTTCCCGGTTCTAGCTCTCAGCATTCATTGCCACCATTCCTGCCGCTGCAGAAAGCCTCGGGCGTGCAGCGAGAGCTGCTTTAACTACACACAGCATCCCCAGACAGGAGGAAAACATCAGGGTCTTAAAAGTTGCAAATGAATTTGGTTCCCACCAAACTGTCTTTTGGATGTTCTTCATTAAATACGTTCTGTGCATGCGGGAGGCTGAATTATTCATGCCACTGCGTGGCTTAAATGAGATATTTAGGGTAAACTCAGGTTTTATGTCTTGGGGAGTGCCCTGGGCATTGCTGCAAATTAATGTAAAAGCTGCTAATTCACAGGACACACGTTTAGCCTGAAGCGTGGCATTTTACTTTCCATGTGTGGGACTACAACCTTTACTGTTCACTGAGGCGCATGCTCTTTGATCGAGATGTCGTAAAAGCCAGCAGAACTTTTTGCTGCTCTCGTTTTTGCAAACTCAGTCAGCATGAGACTGTAGATCAGGCCTGTGAGGAGAGAGGTGGGGCTGTACTTACAGAGTAGGACGAGCAGGAGTGTGGCGAGCAGCGCAGGAAGGCTGATGCGGTGGGAGTGGCCAGAGCTGCAGTATCGCCTGCTCTTTGTACAGATGCACACCTGAACTTTGACCTCTGTGTTGTTGGACAAAGGGGGCACCCCTGAGTCTGTGATGAGCAACGGGAGCTGGTAGTTGGCTTTCTTCAGACTGTGTAGAAGCATGATTTGGGAGTGTGTGGCTGCAGGAAACAGATAAAAACAGCTGGTAATCACAAGCACACGTTTTCTACACCAGTGGTCCCACACTCCCTTCCCCGAGGACCAGTACCCAGCTTGTTTTATGGTTTTCCTGCTTTCAAACAGCTGATTTTAATCCACAGCTGATTAAAGTGGGAGACAAGGCATCGGCTGGAGACCAGACTTCCAGTTAGAGGATTGGCAGTACCCCCTCCAACCCCCCTGCGTGTGCTCTCGGACTTCCTCAGTCAGAAAAAAGAGTCGTTAACGAGTGTGCACACACTCGCACGTGCACGCAAGCACACACAAACAGCAGACTCAGCGCTCGACAGAAGAGCAGACACAGAAACTGACGACATGAAGGAGGACTTCCTGTTCACCTCCATTTAAAGGGGAGGAGGCCTTTTTTCTTAAGGAGGCGAGTGGCTCTGAGGGTACGTGTCACATCAGCAGGTGAGTGGTACCGCCAGGTGGAGCTGCGGTGAGACTCAGCGGTCCGGCGTAGTGGCGTCATGCTGTACTGCACTGACGTCACCCTGCCAGCGCTGCAGCAACCAGCTGTGGCTGATTCTAAATCAGTGTGGAGCAGAGCTTTAATCTGAAGATGGAGATGTAATTAGTTTTAAATATTAAAGTTAACTCATTCACTGCCAATGACGACTAAACTTGGGGGTCGGACGAGCCCCCGCACCGTGAGAACAAGCATCCCAGCTCTAAAGCTGATGTGCATCTGCGTACGTCATGTGATCAGGAAGCAGAACATCCATGTGTTAGGAGATCGTTTTGGGCCGCTGCTGTAAAAAAAGTGAGGCGCGAACCGGAAAAGCTTCTGCCGATCACAATTCCACAACGGAATACGAGAGAACGGATAACGCTCAAAACGCGCGGATTCTTCCTGATGTCAGAGGTGAGTCTCCGCTTTGTTTTGGCGGCTTTGTCTAGGCTTCAGCTTGTTCAGAATTCTGCAGCAAGGTTCCTGACTGGAGCTGAAAGAAGACACCACATCTCACCTATTCTTAAAACGCTTCACTGGTTGCCCGTTAAATTCAGGATCAATTATAAAATTTTACTTCTCACGTTCAAATCCTTGAACGGTCAAGCGCCTCCCTATCTGTGTGATCTCCTTCATTACTACCACCCTCCTCGAGCTCTTAGGTCTGAAGACCAACTCCTCTTAACTGTCCCTAAGGCCCGTTTGAAGACTCGTTGGGAAAGGGCTTTTCAGTCTGTGCCCCAAAGTTATGGAACTCATTACCACTGCAGGTTAGGCAAGCTTCCTCTATCGGCGCCTTTAAATCTCGTCTGAAGACCCTCTACTTCCCTTACGCATTCGATCCCTAATTCCATAACTGCTTAGCTCATCCACGGTCCCTCCTAGACAATTCAATTTTAATTTTGTGTTTTTATATTCTGGTTTCATTTGCTTTTACTGTTAATAGTCTGTTGAAAACAGAAGATGATGCAAAGTGTCAATAAAGTTTCATTGAATCATGAATTATGTATGAAAAGTGACTAAACTGTGGCTGCTAGCATCCTTGTTGTTTCTTTGGAGCATCCAGACATCTCACAACTAGACCTGCATGATCGGTATTTTGTGCAAATGTTTTTTTATACTTTAGAAAACCTGAATTTCTACTTTTAAAATGTTGTTAGATCAGATAAAAACACGTTTAATAACTTAAGAGCATGATGGCGCCACATTACCACCACAGTCTGACCACTTTAAACAACCTAAAGCTTAGTTTATGTTTCTGCGTCGGTGCGGAGACATGCAGCACCATCCTCCATCCTTGCGAGCCTGCTGGAGAGCCCTCGTAAGGATGGAGGGAGTCGAGCCCGCTTTTCTAAACATCCGTCCAAAAAGACGGAGAACGCAAGCTTGTGATTGGTCGGGACGCCGCTTTGTCAACAGTGACACCATTGCACACTCAAAAACATAAAGACAGCTAAAGATACGTAGCAGGCAGACACGGAGCAGCGTGAAGAACACCTTGTGAAGAAACTCTGAAAAATCTGATTGTTTTATTCACCCGAGACTGGAGGAGTAAAAAAAATACGAATCAAGCGTTTCATTCGTGGACGGAAATGACAGGAAACGTGTGTTTAGAGGTGGTGAGCGCATGGAGAGGTGGAGGAGAACGACCTGGTAAAAACTCTGAGATACAAAAAACACAAGCATGAAGTACGACAGGCTCCCTGACGCCGCTCAGCGATGCGGCAAACTGTCGACATTGTTTTATAAGGAGGTTATTTATCAGTTCTTCACTCTGAATATTTTAAACCAATGTCCAATCCTGTCCCTGAAGGACACCTACCCAACATGTTTTAGTTGTTTCCCTGCTCTAGCACACCTGATTCAGTGGGTGAATATGAAAAACCTCTAAAATGTTCAGACTTCTCTGAAACCACCAACTTCTCTCACGTAAAAAGATCCAGAAACGAGGGACTCTCCTGAATAAAAACAAGACTTCTTGTTGCTGTTTCAGCTTCTTACACCATTCAGCTCTGATCCTCGCTGCCAGCTCTCTCCAACTTTTAGCTCGTGAGCCCTTCACCGTGATTCCTGTGCAGTCAGGAGGAGCGTTTCGTTGCTGTTTGGTGAACTTAAGCTGAGGGGAAGGGAAGAGGTTCATTTTGGATTTAATTGGTTCTAAAGGTCATGTCTTATCTCTGAGCCTGTCCTGGTACAATTCATGTGTTCATTCCTGTCTAAACAAAACACACGAAGCAGCAACCCAATTAGCGTAGTTATTTAAGCTCCAGGGAAACCCTGAACGTGTCCGTTGGTCGTCGTGTTTGGGAGGACAGCAGCTGACTGGTTCAGACACGGTGCTGCTCTGCCACCTGGCTAGATCATACAGACATGTTAAACGCTTGGAGGGCAAACTTTTATTTTATTTAACAATGCTGCATATCTCTAGGTGTTTTATCTATTTGCTGCCATGGTAACGCTGTGCCATTACTCAAGCAGGGAAGGCACAGGTTTTAATGAGTCTGCATTCCAGTTATAGGAAGAATAACCAACATGCCCAGCTGCAGAAGTGGAATGTGGCCCTTGTTACTGGACTTGTGTTTGCTCTACTTTTTCTAATAAAAATATCAGAAGGCCAGGAGCTGGACGCTCACACAGGTGACTGAGTGCTTTTCTTGTTCTCGCTTCAGCCTACCGTTGATGCCAAGGCCACTTGGGTCAAGGATTTCTCTGAGAAGTGGGACTTTAGATGACTGATGGCATTCAAACTGGCGAGTCTTGGTAAAGACCGCCATCTACCAGTAAATAGGCTACAAGACTCAAATAATAATTCAAAATCCATTGCTTAAGGGTCAACTGAAGTTATTGTGACTCAGAACAACCCAAAAGCGCTTGGGGTTGCCCTGACCACCAGCTCCTGTGGATCAGTGCAAATTCACCCCACCAGGGGTAGCACAGCCCATATCGCTGGAGCCGTCTCCCTCTCTTTCTGCTGCCCCCTTCGGTCTCCGCCAGTGCTGACTGAGGGTTGTCTGTACCTCCTTCTCCTGCTGTCAGTCACAGCGAACACCTCTGGGCAGGGTTTAGCTCGGCTCTGTCACTCAGGCACACACGGACACCACTTTCACTCATGCAGTCCTGATTTAATGTCTGGATTCTGTCTAACTTCTCTCATTAGATCGTTTTCCTCTGTGCCCCGATCACATGATCTGTTCAGCAGAACTGTACTTCCATGAATTCACCCTCGACTATCAGTGCAATTAGACTGACTGCAGTGCTTTAGCAATTCTATGTGTTTACTTATTTAATTTCTCTGATCTATTTGCTGCGTTCAGGTACCCCCCAGGGGGCTTGAGGACAAATGAGCCTGAATGGGCTTAAAGCTCTTAGTGGGAAGGAAAGCAGCATGAAAAGGACTCGATGCTTTGGCTTTAATACGGTTATTGTTGTTTAGCTCTCACTGCATGAAATACGCGTTCGTAAGGCTGCTGACGTCTGTCAGCGATACTCACAGTTAAGCCTGGTAACCCTCCACGTTTTGTCCAGGCCCGGCTGCTTTCCCAGTTCTATCTTAAAGGGCGCAGCGTTGGGTGGGAGGTCTTTGTCCCAACCACCAACTATAGCAACATTCATGTCGTGGGCGTCTTCACACACTTGTGCTACCGATGGTACGACGTAGGGGGCGTTGTCATTGTAGTCTTCCAGATAAATGATCAACGAGCCTGTGCCTGTGGCTGGAGGGTTGCCTGCAAACAGAGCAGATGCATCAGGACAAGGTTAGGATGGATGCATCTAAAAAGATCTGCTGCTCCAGGGCAGGCTTGGGTGATTTTAAACAGGAGGAGAAAATAAAAGCCTGGACAGATGTGAAAAGACCGATTATACAAGTGAAGATGCAGTGAAATGTGAGCTCGTGGTGATTCTGGAGTGTCCACTGTGGTCTGTTTAGACACGTTTCCATTTATCTGCTGAATTCAAAGATCATATTCTGACAGACTTGTTCTAACCCTAAAGGAGCCATTTCTGAACTTTAATGAAAACAAAAGGTTGGTTTGACACGTTTCATCGGGTTTGTGGAGACATCCTAACTTACAGGAGGATAAAATACAGTTTTTGCTGTGAGATGAGGGTTTAAACTAGCATTCAAGACCACAGAGTTCAGACCTGCATCTAGAAAGTGTCAATCAGGCTGTTTCTAATCAAATAAAATGTTAAAAAACTTTAATCTTTTGACAGTTTCATTAGATTGCTGACACAAACCTGCCACTGTCAGATCTTTGTACCCTGCTAAATAATAATAATAATAATAATAATAATAATAACAATAATAATAATAATAATAATAATAATGATAATAATAATAATTGGAACTAAATAAATGTAAAAATGTCAAATAATTTCTAAAGTTTTAAGGCGGATTATTTAAATCCAACCACCAGAAGCAGGCGACAGAATGCTTACTCGTGGTCGTGTTAGAAGAGAACATTCATTCATGTCCGCTGTAGTGCACACCACACACCACACACACACCACACACACCACACACCACACACACACCACACACCACACACACACCACACACACCACACACCACACACACACCACACACTACACACCACACACACCACACACCGCACACTGCACATCACACACTACACACCACACAGTGCACACTACACACCACACAGTGCACACTACACACCACACACCACACACTACACAGTGCACACTACACACCACACACCACACACACCACACACCACACACCGCACACTACACACTACACACCACACACTACACAGTGCACACTACACAGTGCACACTACACACCACACACTACACACCACACACTACACACCACACACTACACACCACACACTACACACCACACGCCACACACTACACACCACACATCACACACTACACACCACACAGTGCACACTACACACCACACACCGCACACTACACACTACACACCACACACTACACAGTGCACACTACACAGTGCACACTACACACCACACACTACACACCACACACTACACACCACACACTACACACCACACACCACACGCCACACACTACACACCACACATCACACACTACACACCACACAGTGCACACTACACACCACACACCACACACCACACACTACACAGTGCACACTACACACCACACACCACACACTACACACCACACACTACACACCACACACCACACACTACACACCACACACCACACACTACACACCACACACTACACACCACACACCACACACTACACAGTGCACACTACACACCACACACCACACACTACACACCACACACTACACAGTGCACACTACACAGTGCACACTACACACCACACACCACACACTACACACCACACACCACACACCACACACTACACACTACACACCACACACTACACACCACACACTACACATCACACACTACACACTACACACCACACACTACACACTACACACCACACACTACACATCACACACTACACACTACACAGTGCACACTACACACCACACACTACACACTACACACCACACACCACACCACACGCCACACACTACACACCACACACCACACACCACACACTACACACTACACACCACACACTACACATCACACACCACACACTACACACCACACACTACACACTACACACCACACACTACACATCACACACTACACAGTGCACACTACACACCACACACCACACACTACACACTACACACTACACACCACACACTACACACCACACACTACACACTACACACTACACACCACACACTACACACTACACACCACACACTACACATCACACACTACACAGTGCACACTACACACCACACACCACACACTACACAGTGCACACTACACACCACACACTACACACCACACACTACACACTACACACCACACACTACACACCACACACTGCACACTACACAGTGCACACTACACACCGCACACTACACAGTGCACACTACACAGTGCACACTACACACCACACACCACACACTACACAGTGCACACTACACACCACACACTACACACCACACACTACACACTACACACTACACACCACACACTACACACTACACACTACACACTACACAGTGCACACTACACACCGCACACTACACACTGCACACTACACACCGCACACTACACAGTGCACACTACACACTACACAGTGCACACTACACACCACACACTACACACCACACACCACACACTACACAGTACACACTGCACACTACACACCACACACTACACAGTGCACACTACACACCACACACTACACACTACACAGTACACACTGCACACTGCACACTACACACCACACAGTGCACACTACACACCACACACTACACACCACACACCACACACTACACACTACACAGTACACACTGCACACTGCACACTACACACCACACACTACACAGTGCACACTACACACCACACACTACACACTACATACCACACACCACACACCACACACTACACACCACACACCACACAGTACACACTACACACTACATACCACACACCACACACCACACACCACACACTACACACCACACACCACACAGTGCACACTACACAGTGCACACTACACACCACACACTACACACTACATACCACACACTACACACCACACACCACACACCACACAGTGCACACTACACAGTGCACACTACACACCACACACTACACACTACATACCACACACTACATACCACACACTACACACCACACACCACACAGTACACACTGCACACTACACACTGCACACCACACACCACACACTACACACTACACACCACACACTACACACTACACACTACACACCACACACCACACACTACACACTACACACTACACACCACACAGTACACAGTACACACTACACACAACACACCACACACTACACACTACACACTACACAGTACACACTGCACACTGCACACTACACACTGCACACCACACTACACACTACACACTACACACTACACACCACACAGTACACAGTACACAGTACACACTGCACACCACACACTGCACACCACACAGTACACAGTACACAGTACACACTACACATCACACACTACACACTACACACTACACACCACACACTGCACACCACACACCACACACTACACACTACATACCACACACCACACACCACACACTACACACCACACACCACACAGTACACACTACACACTACATACCACACACCACACACCACACACCACACACTACACACCACACACCACACAGTGCACACTACACAGTGCACACTACACACCACACACTACACACTACATACCACACACTACACACCACACACCACACACCACACAGTGCACACTACACAGTGCACACTACACACCACACACTACACACTACATACCACACACTACATACCACACACTACACACCACACACCACACAGTACACACTGCACACTACACACTGCACACCACACACCACACACTACACACTACACACCACACACTACACACTACACACTACACACCACACACCACACACTACACACTACACACTACACACCACACAGTACACAGTACACACTACACACAACACACCACACACTACACACTACACACTACACAGTACACACTGCACACTGCACACTACACACTGCACACCACACTACACACTACACACTACACACTACACACCACACAGTACACAGTACACAGTACACACTGCACACCACACACTGCACACCACACAGTACACAGTACACAGTACACACTACACATCACACACTACACACTACACACTACACACCACACACTGCACACCACACACCACACACTACACACTACATACCACACACCACACACCACACACTACACACCACACACCACACAGTACACACTACACACTACATACCACACACCACACACCACACACCACACACTACACACCACACACCACACAGTGCACACTACACAGTGCACACTACACACCACACACTACACACTACATACCACACACTACACACCACACACCACACACCACACAGTGCACACTACACAGTGCACACTACACACCACACACTACACACTACATACCACACACTACATACCACACACTACACACCACACACCACACAGTACACACTGCACACTACACACTGCACACCACACACCACACACTACACACTACACACCACACACTACACACTACACACTACACACCACACACCACACACTACACACTACACACTACACACCACACAGTACACAGTACACACTACACACAACACACCACACACTACACACTACACACTACACAGTACACACTGCACACTGCACACTACACACTGCACACCACACTACACACTACACACTACACACTACACACCACACAGTACACAGTACACAGTACACACTGCACACCACACACTGCACACCACACAGTACACAGTACACAGTACACACTACACATCACACACTACACACTACACACTACACACCACACACTGCACACCACACACCACACACTACACAGTACACACCGCACACTACACAGTACACACTGCACACCACACACCACACACTACACAGTACACACTGCACACTACACACTACACACCACACACTACACACTACACAGTATACACTACACATCACACACTACACAGTACACACTGCACACTACACACTGCACACCACACACTACACAGTACA